TAAAAAAAAATCAGTTTAAAAAATGGAATTTTAAATCTATAAGATTTAATTTAGTAATTAATAAAATAAATGAATAAATTTTTGGTATATAAACCTTAAAAAATAATTTAATTAATTTATTAAAAAAAATTATTTTTTAAAAATTTGATTTAATTAAAATTATTAATTTTTATTTTAAACGTAAATTCACTCTTATTTTTCTTATTAAAAATTCAAAATTTTTAAATTATTTTTTGGTAATAATTTAATATGTAAAACATTTAAAAGACTCTTAAAATTCAATTTTACATAGAAAATATTCAGCTCAAGCATGAAATACCTTAAAAACAGTATTTAAAACGAGAATATAATTAAAATAATTATAAATTAAGTTTTTTTTTTTAAATTTGTCCATATGATAATTTCGATTATAATTAAACTAAATTTAATCCTGTATACGAATTAAATTATTAAAATAATTATTATAATATGGAGATTATCTCTGATGACGTACACGATGCCTTACTTTATAACCGTTTAATGACAGCAGCTATCTATTTATTACAAACCGTGATTATCTCGCTCGTTCCCTCAAAAATTCACCAAACTCTAACTAATTACCTGATAAATTTATCACTAAAATAAGATACGATGATATCAAACCAAAAATAAAATTAAAAAAAAAGAAAGAAAGAAATAAGAGTATTCGCTTTCCTGCCTATCTCGAGAGCCGTGCACAAAAGAGACATTTACAGGCGCGTAATAATAGAAAATGCGGATTTTCATTCGCTACTCTTTATGAAATTTGACAGTTTACACCAAACTGGATACTGTATAAACAAGTATCAAACTTAAACAGTGACGTAGGGACCCATGTAATTTCGAATTTTATTACATTATCGATCCTGTTTTCTATTTAACGTTAATTAATGTTATGAACTAATAAAATACTTTATCATTTATTTTATAAACCAAAACATAAATTTCTCTTGGAATATATTAAAAATTCGGGAATTTTTCTAAAGTTAAATCTACCGTTTAAATTATTTATAAATTAATTTCACATACGATAATAACAGGTGCTATAACACCTTTCCATTTATAATAATTTAATTTGTATTTAAAAATATTGCAGATAAATTACTTCCTACTTTCGAATTTACGTATTATTTACAGTTAGGAAAGGATTTAATGAAGGTGATTTTATATTTTATCGGTTAATTTTTTTTTTTTTTTTTTTTTTATTTACTGAGAAATTGTTAAATTTATACGAAACCAATCGTAAATTTCAGCGAAAGAACGGTCTGAAAAATGTAAGGTGACTTTTTTCGGTGTTGTTAGAAGAAGGGCATCACCATTCAGAATACGAATAATAGAAAATTTAGTAAATATATAGCTGAAAATTAGATAATTAAGTCATGACTTACCTTGGCTGCTTATAAACATATTTTATTCGAAAGAGTCTCGCCTATCCACTCTGATGTCGAAGGACTATCACTATACTTCTAGCACGATTCTAGTCAGAGCACTGACTGAGGAATCGTAGATGCCAACTGCTTTCCTTCAACCTCAAGTGGCGACCTCTGCAAGCGGAGCGAAGAGACCAAAATAAAACATCACTCGCCATCTAGAAAAATCCCCCCTTTATTTTTTTTTTTTACTACAAGGTCAATCGCTTCTTCCTTATTTTTTCTCTTAAAGCTAACTTTAAATTCTATCTGGAACTCGTCCCATTTGTTTAATATTGCCATCACGCACGCTAAATATTAATAATTTTGGAATTGTCTCAAAGGAAATTTATCCTTATAAATTGCCAAAATAAGTTCATAGGTCAATTCCAACCTTTCTTTTTATAGTAGTAAGTGATTATCTTTCTGGGTTTGTAAGCGAAAATCAGAGTTATGAGCAAAATAATTTTGTTCTTAAGCAAAAAAAAAAATCGCTTAATAAATGTTAATAATTTTGGATAAAATAGCTAAAAATATATACTTAAATATTAAATTACATTCAAAATTTATCCTTTTAATTAAAATAATTCAAATTATAAATTAGAAACACCATTAAAGATTCGATTTTCTATAGAAATAAACTTAATTCGATTATAAAATTTAAGCACCTTTAAATATTGAAAAAGAAAAAAAATTGTAGAAATAATTAATTTAAAAAATTCAAAATTAATTAAATAGATTTATTGCGATATTAGTGATTATTTAAACATATAGAAACGTGAGATTTATTTTAAAAAAAATAAAAAAAATAAAAAAATAATTACCAAAATTAACAAAACAGAATAATGGGATTTAAAATATAATTTGTAATTGTTTATTTTTCAAAATATTCCTTCGATAAACTGATTATACATTCTTGTAGGATAAAGAAATCTTTGTGCTAATTTATACGATTAGTGTCAGTTCAGTGAAGCGTACTTCTGAAAATCTGATGCCAATTTTGTCTGTTTAGGGATTAAGATAAACTTATTTTTACCTTATTGCCTTACAAATAAACAATTTTTAATTAGTAGAATATATTCTAAGCATAAGGTACTAAATTTCCTTTATATCGATTCTACAGAAGCAACGCATCACTTACCCAATCTTCTTTAAATAAAATAAAAAAATAAATAATAATAAAATAAATTAAACATTTTAATATAAAATAATAATAATAATAATAATTTTAGAAATGTTAATTCGTTATAAAATAATTTTATCTTGTTTTAATTAAAGATTTTTACTCTTAAATTAGTTTCTGTTGATCGTAGATTAGTAATGAGTTAGACTATTAAATAATCTATAAATTTTGATCGGATTTAATTATAATGTTAATTCATAAATTAATTTTAAAGGTTTAAATTTGTATTTTGTATAAAATTTACAAAGAATTCTCCGAATTATTGTATAAAATTAGCTAACAAAAGACTCACAACGTCAGAAAATATTTATTCTGATGCTGTCAGTGTGATGAATGCAAGAAATTATTGTTATTATTATTTTTTTATATTATTCACGACTTTTTAATTAATTTATGTGAGTAAATTAAAATAAAATTAATTTTGAATTAAATAAAACGTTAATTAACATTAAAAAGCTACTTAAAATTCAACTTTTAATCTCATTTAAGTGTAAATTTAACCAATAATAATTATTACTTATCAAAATTCAATAAATTTTGGGATTTGAAAATAATAAATAAATAAATAAATAATATAAAATTTCCGATTCTAGTAGAAAATTTTATTTATTTTTCATTCTTTTTATAATCTTTTATCACATTTTTTCAATCGGATTTTAAAGCATTTTACTTATAAATAATTGAATTAGAACTTTCCAAAATTATATAATAAATTTTGAAGATTATTTTATATTATAAACAGCACAAAATTAAATAATAAATTTATTTATTATTTGTTTAAATAAATAAAATTAATTATTTTTAAATTAATTGTAAGTTAACACGAAACAAAATTTTCCTGTAATTTTCTTAGAAATTTTGTTTTCGTGTTAATTTATTTTATTTAATGATAGAAATTTGACTTGAAATTTATAAGATAATTAAAGAATATTTTAAGTTTTTAATTTTAAAAAAATGCTTAAAAATAATATAATTAATGTTTAATTTGATTTTTTGAACTTTAGAAAGCTTTTGTATCTACAATCCGTTTGTTTTGTACGACAGAAAGGCTTTAAAATTTTAATTAATTTAATTTTGGATACCAAAAACGTTTATAAAAATTAAATTAATTCAATTTTGGACCAAAAATAATGCTTGAAATAATTTTTAATCTGATTTTGATCTTTAAAATCTTTTTTTGGGGGGGGGATTAAAACACGATTTTTGGATCTCAAAATGGATTATTTTGGAACAAAATATAGTTCTTAATCGATTTAAACTGAAATTTTTCCTCCAAGCTGTAAATTTATTTCGTTCTAGACGTGTTCAGATGATTTATAAAATAATTTAAAACCAATATATGTATATATTTAATATTAGATTTTGATAGAGGAGAATCTTCTCTGAAGTTCTATTTTTATAATAATTTTGGACACACAAGCTGTTTTTTTTAAGTATAAAATTACTGTTGATGCAAAACTGTTGACAGTCGATGGTGACAAATTCAGTTACGAATCATAGACATCTGCAATGGATGTAAAGATCCGTCAATTCGGATACTCGATACCTTTCAAAATATGTCGCTTAGGAAATATATCTTATAAAAATGCCATAAATCATAGTATAATAAAAAAATAAAACAATATCGAGCATAAAAATTAAAAGAAAAGTAACTAATATTTATTAAATATCCAAAATAATCAATTAAATTTAATCTATTTACGATTTAGCCTAAGTTGCACTAAATTCGAATTTTACAGAAAAGTTTTAAAGATAAATTAAAGATTTTGAGTAAATCGATGTAACGTTGTATTATATATATAACTTTTTAAATTTTATATAATTTTGTTCGGTGTAAATTTAGTTAACGAGCCAAATTTAATCCGATACGTTGGTAGATACGCTTTCTAAACTCATTATAAATGATTACGTTCCATAGTTAAGTTAATAATAGTAAATTGACTTTGAAGTGAAACCAAAATATTATAATATACTTAAAATTTATAAAGTTAAATATTATTTTGGAACCTTTTTTTGTCTGTAGATACTTCATGTTTACGTCAGCTGTTTCTTATCTCATGTATTTTTTTAAAATTTGGTAATTTTGTTTTAAAAAATGTACGAAATTCTTTATAACACAATCAAAGTTTACGAAAATTCTATACGTATTTTGTACACATTTAAAAAAATATATATTTTTTACTTATTATTAAATTTATTAAAGTTTTTGGGCTGCAATTTAAAAAAAAATTGTAAACCTATAAATTCTCACTGTCGTTCGTTTGTCTGTCCTTCTCTAATCTCGAGAACATAGTTAGATAGATTACAATTGAGACCAGATTTTGAAGTCTTAGGAGCGAGTGGTCTCGATTAACTGTATACGAACATCTGGTGTGGACCAGAAGTCACGTAATCTTAATTTAAATATTTTTTCCAGAACAGAGTTATACAGATGACTGGCATGACTATTGTTAACAGGAAAAAGTATATAATATAGTAACAAGGCAGTATTACAATCGAGAGCATATATTTTATTGTTATCAGAAACAGTATAATGTACAGGGGCAAAACACTACTAATTTGAGATTGAAAGCATATATTTTAAATTAAATTAAATAATATGATTAAAAATTGTAGAATTTAAAATTTTTGTTTATTTTTCATACTTTTATATAAAATAATCAATTTTTATAAATAAAATTTATATATATAATAATAAGGTATACTTTGTGAATAGATGAGTGGAAGATTCTTCCTCTTCTTGCTCCTCCTGTCTCTTTTTTTTTTATTTTCATTTATATTTTTTTATTTAATTGAACGAGAAAAATTGATTTTGTACAATATCCAAAATCGATAAATGTTACTCTTTCCAAAAAGTAGAAAATTTATTTTAATTTTTTTTAATAAAATTTTTATATAAAAATCAATATATTTTGATCGTTATCCAGTTTCGTTAGACTTTCAGATAAAATTTTACAGGAAAAATGTATATATATATATATTTATCATATAAACATACTTGTAAACAACGAACACTCACAGAGATATTTTAAATGTCCGTTGTTTAGAGGTTATTTTGTACGCATATAAAAAAAAGGGCTTGGCCATCGTTTATCGGTGACCAGATTAGAGATTTGACATGCTTATTTGTTGAAAGGAATGTATTAAACAGGATGTCCCAAAAGTTAAATAACTGTAATTTGTGAAAACAATTGGTAATTTTGATAGAACTTATAAGTAGTAAAGTACAGTATAAGAAAAAACAGCTACTGGATTTAATCTTTACGATGATTAACTGAGTCTTGAGCCACCCGGTTTATAAGCCAGTTTTTCATGTTAATTGACTTATTAATTATTAATTTAAGTTTTGAAAGTGAATATTACAAGTAGAGTCAAACCTGTAAACGACGGCCACTAAGGAACATTTAAAAAAAGGACGTCATTTTGGGTTTATTTTTATGCAATTTTACGCGAATGGCCGCTGTTTAGAGGTGGCATTTAATGCAGATTGGTTCTGTACGT